GAAACCAGTGCAATTTTGTACCACAATAGGCACTTTCTTCATCATCTTTCCTATGTTCATGAGATCAAGTATTACTTGTGGAGATGTCTTTTCTGACCAAACAATTTCAAGCAGAGGCATCACATGAGCAGGACTGCAGATTAATTATACAGAAACCTTAGCACCCGAAATCACAGCACCATGTTTCAGAAATAGCACATTTTAGTGGGAGAGATTTTTTTATGACAGTGACATGCAAGGGGAAAAAAAAAATCCCATTGATAGATTATCAATGAGAAATGCAATACATTTAATTGTGAAACAATGCAGATAAAATTTTACAACAAAAGTAATATTCAAATCATTGGGGCTAAAATTGTTGTTAGGATTTTAGTTCAATATTTTTTCTTGTTTGGTGCAACATGAGTTGCATGTGATTTAAAAAGCATTCTATGTTGCACTGATACGGATACGGCGACCCGGATAAGACACGATATAGATACAGGACACTTCAATTCTTAAAAATGCAGGATACGGGTATGCCACGGACATGGTATTATAATTTATAAATCATACATAAAAATTAAGAAAGCAATCAAAGCATAATATTTTAAATTACAAAAAAATGAAAATAACATCATTTGTAGCTTATAATATCAACATTAAAGTAAGTACTAAATGTCTAGTACAACAACAAAAACATAAACATAAATTGTCTAGCACATGAAGTTTCAACTATTCAATAGAAGGAAAAATTAAGAAAGCAATCAAAGCATAATATTTTAAATTACAAAAAAAATGAAAGTAACATCATTTGTAGCTTATAATATCAACATTAAAGTAAGTATTAAATGTCTAGTACAACAACAAAAGCATAAACATAAATTGTCTAGCACATGAAGTTTCAACTATTCAATAGAAGGAATGATATGATTAGCATCTTAAGTAGTTTGTCTTTGAACTTCTTTATCATCTTCAATAAATATCATAACTTCTAATTCAGTCTAATTAAGTGAAAGATTAATAATTTCTAATATTCCTATATCATCAAGAAACTCAAATCCATCTCTGAAATGAGAGAACCTAGCTCGCAGTCGCGGAAGTAAATACGACGGGTCTTTTTTTCGGATTTTCTTTTTGTTTTTCAACGGACACGCTTATCGGATATGCGTGTCCTTTTGAAATTAAATAATATTTTAATTGGATACGGCAAAGCCATATCCGACATGTATCGGAGGCGTATCAGTATATCGGATACAGCACGCCTTCATAAATAGGTGTATCGGTGCAACATAGAAAGCATTGTACCAGTCTCTTACAAATTTACAGAAATGACACACGCAGGAAAATTTTATATTAGAATACCCGATATATTTTTGTGAGGATATTAAAGACATGCTCAAAGTTCGATGACAAATGCTCAAAGTTATAAGACATTTAAATAAAAAAAAAGAATCAATTTTTCTTGACAAAAAATGTAAAAATATAATATTTATTTTCTAATTTTGAGCAAATATCTTTCGACGCAAATTGTATCCGGACATGATACAATTTTTTTTGTCCACATGCAGTTTGTTTAGTTGAGATGAGGGAGAAATTGTGTTAGGGGATCCTAATAGAATTTTGTGCAAGGAGCATCAAAAGGATTCATGTAGCCGATCCCACAGTGGGATAAAGGCTTGTTGTTGTTGAGCATCTAATTACCTGTCCTAAGCATTCTTTTATTAGCTTAATTAATCACATCATCCAATTTGCTTTGAACACATGTCAAAAGGGTGCTCCTCGCATAGGGGATATTGAGTCGGGTTTGAGCGAGTTAAGCTCAATCTAAAGTCAAAATCAATAACAAATGCTAAACTCAAATTCGACTTGAAATTGAAATCATTCTTTATCTAGTGGAGTCAACTCAAAACTATTCTATGTTTAGTCATGTCAAAATTGATTTCAAGTTGACTTGAAATTGGTTTTCAATTTAGTAAATGCATAAATAAAAATGCCAAGTACTTATTATAGATATTTTAATATTATATAGATTATGTATTTAATATTAACACATATTATGAGTCAACTAATCTATATTCGAGTTGAAGCAAACTCAAAATTGATCAGAATCGAGTTGAGTTAATTTTGAGTTAAGTCAATTTTCAAATATTTCTGGCAGTCTCATCCTTGCACAAAATTCTGTTAAGAGACGAGCTCTCTATCACATTTTTTTCTGAGATAAGAAAGAGATAATTGTTATACTATGGAATATCTTTTTTAATATATTTTGGATAGTTGATGGTTTTAGGAAAGTGTATTAGAGTTTGTTTTGATTTTATTCAAAATGCTCACCCGTTGCATGGAGTATAAAATATTGCTACACTCACTAAATAATTTACAAAAATATCATTTAAGGTTTAATTTTTTAGTTGGCCCAATTAAAATAAGAAAGAAGTCAGGCATCTTTCATTGGAAGGATTTTTATTGATCCACCTAATCAAGTGATGATGTGATAGAATTTTATTGATGAATGTATGCGATAAATCACAAAATATATAATACTTTCACTTAAATGAGTTTTTCTTTTTATTATTATTGAAGTTTTCTGGATAAGTACAAACATTGCTTCCAATTTGCTTACAAACACAAATAGGAAAAGTTGTATATTTTTTTGGACTTCCATATTTTTGTGGTCCCCTTTGCATGAAAATGCAAAACTCTCTCAAGCTTTTCCTCTTATATCCTGCTGTTATTGAAGAAAGAGATTTCACCAGGTGCAAGCCGGCGGCTACAGTTGGCAGGCACTAATGTATGTGTGTGCTTTTCTAATAATATTTTATTTATATTCGGTAGGAACAAGAAGGTCTGCCATTTTCTCCTTTCAAGGTCTGGTTGCTAACTGTTGCGAAGGAGTTAGACTGCCTTTGTTCTGAGTAAGCCGGAGGCGGTTGTTGATGAGGGCAGCATGGTGTGACAGGTAAATATATGTGAAACCACGTAAATTTTGGTATTTTCTGTTTGGTGTTGTTTTGTGATTTCAGCTTAAAAGTATAGGTGTTTTTATTAACAATTATGTATCATGTCTTAACTTTTTTTTCTTATTTTGTGATGCTACTTGACCTTGCTTACATAAGCAAGAACCATCCTTGATGCATTCAAAAGCCAGGGATTATATGAATTGCGGTGAGGAAAACTGACCTGAAGAAATGTGCTCCAATAATGCGATCTTGGGAGTTTGTATTCTTGCCAACAATATTTAAATCAATAGTGGATGTTGTTGTTGCCAGAATGCAGTGTGGAGGACATAACTTCTCAACTTCGTTAAAAATGGTCTGTTTTAGCGGAGCGTTCTCAATGACAGCCTAAGAGAAAACATTGTGACGCTATTAGCAAACACTTTAAGAATGAATTGTATGAAAGATAAATAAAAAATAAAAAAATTTAAAGAACTCTTCAATTTAAATAAATTAATTAAAAAAAAACAGCACCCAATCTGGCCAAACTGTTGCAAGACGGCACTCCAACTTACCTCGATGACCATATCAACGTACTCGAATTCTGAATAATCCAGAACACCTTTGAGAAGTGACAGGGCCTTTCTCATTTTCTCCTGCGTTAGTGGTCCTTTCTTAACTAGTCCTTTCAGGTTTGCTGAAATGAAGCTCAAGGGAAAATCATTAGAACTAAATATAAAATTTATCAGCTATGAAGAACAGCCATAATACATATATTTTGTTACAATCAGGGTGTCAAATCACTTCAAGCAAAAGAGTTAGAAGTAACGAGAATGATGTGCCACAAGGATGAATAAAAGCAAGAGAATACACAAAATGCATGCACTGGAATTTATTTGGTTCAGCTTCAATAACTCTATATTCGTGATAAATGAGAGGATTTGATACACAAAACAGGCAAAAGACATCATTGTGGCGTGCAAAATAAGAGCATGTTGGACCGGTCCAGGAGGGACCGGTCATTGGGCTGGTCCCTCCCGGGCTGGCCAGGGTTTACAGCAAGCGGAAGTTCCGCCTGCAATGAGATCCCGCTCCCTTTGGAATAAGGCCAAGGGAGAAATTTCAAAGGAAGGAGGGGCAGCTTGGAGGGAAAATTCAAATGGAGAGGCCGAGAGGGCTATATTTGGACTTGCTTTGTTTTGCATGCTTTAAGTAGATTGTCTACCCTAGGGTTGTTTTTTTTTTTTTTCATGCTTGTGTTTGTTGAAATTAGTTTTTCTTAAGTTGAGAGGGGCCTAGTCGATGGCTAGGAATTTGGGAGGGCCGAATCTTCCTCTCCAATTGAAGATTCAACTGTATATTGTATTTTCCTTCTTAGTTCTTTCAATAAACATATTCTCTTGTGTGATTTTCTTCCCGAATTTCTTGAGTCATTCTCTGATTTTGCTAAAATTGCATCCACTTCCTATCAGAGCACTCACTAGCCCTATTCCAATTTCCTAGTACTACTCACATAAGAAAAATATCATGAAGTCACACATAGAGATTACCTCACAATGATATCTTCATCTCCTTCCCGCCAATACTTTAAAGGCTTTGATTCCTCTGATGAAAACCTAGATCCAAAAGGGTATGTCAAAAATGAATAAAGGGAGATCAATTACAACCTTTCAAACCATAGATAAGCACCTCTTATACATACAACATAATTCCCAAGGGGTCCAAATCCTAAATTTGGATTCCTACGATTTGTTAGTCAATGCTTACATTTTTTTTATTGCATATGAGGTATATCCGTGGTAATGTGCTTATTGAGTTCATTTTTATAATTCTCATCCTTGACTCAATATTGCGGTAAAATTGGATCTCCTCTATTTGTGCTCCTCTCAAGGTTAAGCACTTTGAGCTCATGAAGACCCTAAAGGCTCTGCTATTTGCAATCTTGGGCGAAGATGTCATATACATAGGAGAGACCATTATAGCACAAATATTGCACTATGAAGTGAATCCATTATCTTGATTGTTCACCCATCACTAAATTTCCGTACCCCTGAAGAGGTAATCAGTCTAATCGCCTGAAGCCTTACCATTATCTCGCATTTGAAACATCTTTTGCAGCCTAGAAGCTAACTCTCCTTTGTCACCTTAAAAAATGCAATGCTCCAACACAGGTGAAGAGCTAATAAAAGATGAGCCTAAAGTTGCACCCTACAATTCTTTAGGTTTTCATGACAACCAAGGAACCAATGAAAAGTTAAGGGTCTGAGCATCCCTCAATAATTCGTATCCTAGACCATTTAGAGCAGCCACATATACAAGATATTAACACTCGGATTAGGTACATGTGCTTCGACCAAATTCCTAGATACACTATCTTGTATCATAATATCAATAGTTTCAGGATCTATCATCATATACATATCTGTGTTTCTTATTCTTACGTGATTTTTTGGAGTAGATTAATTCCTCTCTCATCTTCAGTAGATGTAGGACACAAAAAGGCCACAGATGAATCATATAAACATGGTATCTATTTTTTGTTTAATATCATTTCCATTTATTATGTGTTCATTGGCACATAATAAAGATTTTCATTTGAGTATATCTAAAACCGAAAACATGGAGTGCAATTTTAGTAGTAATAGATCTAGTTATTATTGAGATATTTTGATTTCATTTCATATATTATATTTTTTTATGTTTTATATTATTCACTCATTAGTATATAAAAAATTTATCATTTTATGTTTACGCAATCTTTTGATTTTGAGGCTTACGCCTCAAAACGCCTTGAGGCTTACGTCTCGCCTCACGAATGAAAAACGCCTCAATACCCGAATACACAATTTTAAACATTGCTATCTTGTATCATAATATAAATAGTTTCAGGATCTATCATCATATACATATCTGTGTTTCTTATTCTTATGTGATTTTTTGGAGTAGATTAATTCCTCTCTCATCTTAAGTAGATGTAGGACACAAAAAGGCCACAGATGAATCATATAAACATGGTATCTATTTTTGTTTAAATCATTTCCATTTATTATGTGTTCATTGGCACATAATAAAGGTTTTCATTTGAGTAGATCTAAAACCGAAAACATGGAGTGCAATTTTAGTAGTAATAGATCTTGTTGGGGGTTTGTGACATTGAGCGATCAAATCATTAATAAGTGTACTCGTTTTAGATATATTGGATCTATTGTTCAAAGTGATGGTGAAATAGATGGGGATATTATTAGTAGAAGTCAAGTTGGATGGTTGAAGTGGAGGAATGTTTCGGGTTTATTGTGTGATAGAAAAGTACCACTCAATCTTAAGGGAAAATTTTATAAGATGGTGGTGAGACCTGCAATGCTTTATGGCGCAGAATGTTGGCCATTAAAAGAGAAGCATAATATTAAGTTAAGTTTTGCTGAGATGAGGATGCTCAAGTGGATGAAAGGATACGAAATGAGCATATCTAGGAAAATGTTAGAGTAGTTTCAGTGACAGATAAGATTAGACAGAGTCGCCTTAGATGGTTTGGTTATGTAAAACGTCAGCCTTTCGATGACCATGTTAGGAGAGTAGATGTATTGGATTTGGCCTATGCTAAGAAAAGTAGAGTAGACCTAAATAGACTTTGGTTAGAAAATATTAGAAATGACCTTTCTTTATTAGATTTAAATGAAAATTTGACTCTTAACATGACACGATGGAGAAAAAGGATTTATGTAGCCGACCCCACGTAGTGGGATAAAGGCTTGATGTTGTTGTTGTTGTTGATGTGTTCAATGGCACCTATCCTAATCTGTGCTTGTGCATAAATAAGTTTTCTCCATTTGATTTGTATACTTCTATGACTTATTGGTAGTAGATCATTTTATCTCTCCTCCCACTTAGATGTAGGCTAAGGCAGAATTATGAAATTCTGGATAATTCCTTTTTCATTTAATCTCATTGCTATTTATTTAATGCATTCATTGACTCTGATCCTAATAGTGTTTTTGCATAAATAAATTATCGATACTGCATGTTCAAGTTATGTATCATGCTTATGCAGTTCAAGGAATATAAACTATATGTATATGTATGCTAGTGCGGACAATCATTCTTAATGCAAGAATTAGAATGGGTACTAAATTCATACCTTCTACAGTTTTTAGTCCACGAAAAGCTGGGTCTCTTTCCTTGAGAACAACATGTATATCACTTAAAATAAGAGCTGTAGCTATACCAGATCCCATTAAACCCCCACCAATAATAGCAACTTTCCTAATGGGTCTTGGCCTGAGTCCAACGCCAGTAAGATTAGGTACCTTTCCATAACAACATTGTATTAGAGAAAAGCAAAAGCATATTGACCGAAGCACATATTTAGATGATCAGATTGATGCAAATGTAACATCTCAATCTTTGCTTCTTCCTTCATCTTTTTATCATTTCATTAAAGAGACCACGAATCATTTCATTAAAGAGACCACGATTAAGGGGAAATATCACTTGATAAAATCGAGTAAGACAATGAAAATAATAAATGGAAGTTGTGGATCTCATCCTTGGTTAGCACCTTCGTTATCAGATAAATCCAATGATTGCCCCAAAAACTATTGTACCATAGACCTTTTCCTTGTTTAATTATAAATGGTCACATAAACAACTAAGCTTTTAATGACTAGCATTTGAAGGTCAGTTCCCAAAAAGGTATGGGATGAGGAATTCTCTGTAGCTAATTGATACATTGGCAGCCCTTAGGGGGCAAACCAGATGGTCCAACAGACTCCGGACCAAGGAGGAACGGACCAAGGTGGGGCTGAACCTGGATAGATTTCGGCTCCTTTTGTGGGACCCAGTAAAATATTAATTTATTATGTGAGAATAGGAATTAAGGAAGGGATTAATTATGAAGGATTTCCTAGTTGAAATTCAAGTTGAAAAGGTAAATATATCAGTAAAGGGGGGCTGATTTAAGTAGGGATTAATTAGAAAGGATTTCCTAATAGAAATTCAAATTGGAGAGGGAAATATATTAGGAAAGGGGGCTGAATTTGAAAGGATTTCCCAATTGAAATTCAAATTGAAGAGGGAGATATTATAGGAAGGGTTGGGGGGGTGATGATTTAGGAGGGAAGTAGGAGAAGCTTATTTAAGACTAAGTTTAGGGTTTATTTTGTCTTATGCAGATTTTTATTTGGTTTTGTTGTAGCTTTTTTTTGAGAGCTTTCTATCGACGCCTAGGTTGTTTGGGAGAGTCGATCTACCTCTTGAATTATAGATCACCAGTATCTTACTTTCAAATTGAAGTTATAATCCAAAATCAAACATTATTATTATTATTTATGCAATTTTTTATTGTACGTTTGTTGTTTTTGCCTCAAAGGCATATCAAATTGGTATCATAGCGCTGTCTTAGACCAAAATCTTTGTTCTCCTCGCATATTTCTGATGTGTATCTCTAGTTTGCTTATTGTTAAGGTTTTAAGACTTTAGTTGCTAATTTTTATTGTTTGGAATGTAGATCCGTGATTGAAAGCAAAGAAGGTGAAGGCATTGGAAGGCGAAATAGAGAAATTCAAAACCAGCGTGGAGGAGAAGCTCACTACCAAGGAAGAAAGGTTTTCATCTATGGAAAATCATATTGAAAACCGATTTGGAGGGGTGGAGGAGATGTTAAGAAGGATCTTGGAGATGCAAATAAAAACTCCACCGGTGGTTTCAATGGTTAACCCAAATCCATATTCAATCTGGGTTCCCTTGACCACAACCAAGGTTAAAGGAGTTGAACGAGAATAGTTCGATGAGGAGAGTTTTATTTCACCAAGAACTACCTCTTAGGGCTCTGATAAGGGTGGAATAGGATCTTTAGATAGGGGGACAGCATGAAGGGAGTTTTGTGGCGGAGGTGGTGGGATGACCGACCACTATAGGGGGGGGGGGATGAAAGATAGGTGAGATTCTCACCCACGATACACGGGGAGGAACATTACTGAAGAGAAAATTGGGGTGGAGATGCTATGGTGAGGAAGCTAAAAATGCAAATTTTTTAAGGGGAAGATGCTCAAGGATGAGTGTATCGAGTGGAGCGTTACTTTGTTATCAATGGGCTTACAGAGGGGGAAAGGCTCATGACGACAAAGCCTTTTGGTTTCAGTGGAGGGAGGTGAGATACCCGCTCCTTTCATGGGGAGAATTTAAAAGGGGATTATTGGAACGTTTACGAGCCATCTGGGAAGGAAACCTCCACGAGCAATTTTATGCCTTGACCCAAGAGGGAACAGTCATGGAGTACCAGGAAAAAAATGAGCTGCTATCAGATAGGCTGAGGGGAACTAAGGAAGGGTTGGAGGGGAATTTCATGAAGGGCCTGAAGGAAGACATGTGTGCAGAGCTCAGGGTGTTGAGGCCAAGGGGGTTGAGGGAGATGATGGAACTAGCAGAAAGAGTGTAAGAGAAACATCAAAGGAAAAGGCCAACAGATGCAATACCATGGGAGGCACTTACACAGGAATACCTCTACAATCTTGGCACCGAGGACCCAGATCGTATCTTTTCAAAAGGAAGTGCCAAAGTATAAGAGCACTGGGGTTCGCCCGGGAAGCAATTTCAAGTGCCTCACAGAAGCAGAGGTACATATAAAAGGGCAATAGGAGTTATGTTACATATGCGACAATAAATTTATATCAGGACATAGATACAAAAATCGTACCTTGTAGATTCTCATGGTGTGTGATGAGGAGGACGATGAGATAGAGACAGCGAGGGAGGAAGAAGAGTCTGTACACTTAGAGGTGGCTGAAGTTTCATTGAACTCTGTAGTCGGATTCACCCTGAATCACACTATAAAGGTGAGGTATAGATAGGCGAAGAGGTGGTAGCAATCCTGATGGACAGTGGGAAAACCCATAATTTCATATCAAACTTGGTGGTAAACAAACTGAGCCTGAAACTGGTAGACATGGGATGGTTTAGACTTATGATGGGCATAGGAAAGGTGGAGAAAAGCAGAGAGATATGTCAGGGTTTGATGGTAGAGCTGCAGGGGATTCACATTAAGGAGGATTTTCTCTCATTGGAGTTGGGGAGTACTAATTTGATTCTGGAAATGAAGTGGCTACAAACCTTGAAGGAAACTAAGATAAACTGAAAGGCATTAGCTATGGAGATCCAGGTGGATGGGAGAAAAGTGGTATTAAGGGAGACCCCAACTTATCCAAAGCTACGGTTTCTTTGAAAACCCTGGTTCAGGCCCTAAAAGGGGAAGGAGGGGAATTCTTAGTGGAGCTCCAAAGTTTGGAGGGAGGAGAGAAAAAGGATGTACATGACATTCCAGACATGGTCCATCCATTCTTTAGCAGTTCAGGGAGGTATTCTGGCTTCCCCAGGGATTTCCACCCCTCGAGAGCACGAGCACTTGATTGTTCTAAAGAAAGGAGTATCTCCCATTAGTGTTCGGCCATATCGCTACCATCAGGTCTAGAAGGATGAGATTGAGAGACTGATTAAGGCGGTGCTTGAAGTTGGAATTATCAAGTCCAGTGTAAGCCCTTCCTCTAGTCCTGTATTGTTGGTAAAGAAGAAAGATGAAAGTTTGAGGTTCTGTGTAGACTACCATGCCCTGAATAAAAAAACTGTACCAAACAAGTTTCCTATAACAGTCATTGATGAGTTGTTACATAAGTTGCATGAATCTGTGATATTATCCAAAATTGACTTGAAATCTCGATACAATCAAAGTAGAATGTGACCAGATAACACCCACAAGATAACTTTTCGGACGCACGAGGGACGCTATGAGTTCTTAGTGAGGTCTTTTGGGCTCACTAACGCTCCGGCCAGCTTCCATTTCCTAATGAATAGGGCATTCCAACCTTATCTGTGAAGGTTTATGCTGGTAATTTTTGAAAATATAATGCGATAATGGTATATAACAGGTCTGAGGTCGAGCACTTGAAGCATTTGGTAGTTGTGTTATTCATCTTAAGGGAGCACTCTTTGTTTGTCAATCAGAAGAATGTTTTTTTGCCCAACCCAGAGTGTAGTATTTAGGGCAAGTGATATCTTAGGAGGAAGAGATAGCTATCCAGAGTAAGAATGAGGTCATGCTCAAATAGCCCATACCCAAGACTTTAAAGTAGCTGAGAGGATTCTTGGGACTCAGGCTACTACCAAAAATTTGTGAAAGTATACAGTTCCATAGAGGGGCCGTCGACGGAACGGCTCAAGAATGACCAGTTCAAGTGGGGAGAGTTAGCCACCCAGGCTTTTGAGGAGTTGAAGAAGGCTATGACTAGCATGCCAGCATTAGCTCTTCCAGATTTTAGCTAGCACTTTCTAGTTGAGACAAATGCCACAGGTTTGGGTTGGGAGCGGTACTCATGCAGAACCAAAGACAAGTGACTTATTTCAGTCAGGTGTTAACATCCAGGGCAAGGCTCAAGTCAGTCTATGAGAGGGAGCTAATATAATAGCTTGTATTTTGATCCTATCAAATAATTTTTTTCTGGTCAAATCCAAATCACAAACCGTCTTCGTCATATCATAGATATAAGTGTTTTAAATGCACTAATTTTTTCGTAATTTTTGAGCACAAGTGTAAATCCTTAATAAATTGGCACTTGTTAGTACAAGTGGGAATTTTGTGATCGTCAGGTGTCCGTTTTGCAAATTGATTTCACCAATTTTTTTAAAATAAAATAAGTTATTTAATGGATAATTTTCTATAATTTTTAAGTCCCAAAAAATATATAAATTTTATATTGAAAATTAATTAAACTATGATATTATATTATTATTATTTTCTAAATATCTAAAAGCATTTAGTACATCATAAGAAAAAAAGACATGTTTTCCCTATCCATTTCGACAACAGAGAATGGGATTAGGAATTTAAGAGAGAAATGTGAGGAGAGAGAAAATAGAAGCTAGGCTTGGGAGGCCGTGAAGCAATTTTCGTTGCTCTGGGCGATTCACTCGTCTCGTTGTAAGGAACCTATATCCTATTTTTTATTTCAATAATTTTATTTTATTTTTGATATTTTTCGGTCAAATTTGTATTTCTGTTACCGAAAAATGCGAATAATTTTGCACTGATGAAACATTCATCATGTAAATTTTTATATATTATAGAGATTAAAATTATAAATATTTTGAGTATTTATTTGAGATTTTTCACTAGGTGATTTTGAAAATGTAATGTTTTTTGATAATTTAAAATTTTATTCTAACACCTAAAAAAAGTGTTCTAGTTCAATTAAAACTTTATAATGTTATTTTATACAATCTCTAGTAATTTAATAAATTTCTGAAAATATGAATTTTT